GAAGGTTTCGTTGGATGAATAGCTGTGAGATTTTTTTGTGGCCCTTTTAGTGGCTGTATTCACTCTATACTGTATGAATGAATAACATTCGACCTGGAGAGACAATAGCCTAATAGCATTCGATTCTGCATCCCTCCAAGTAGTTACATTCAGCCTGTACTTTTTGAATGAATAAAATTTGACCTGGAGAGACAATAGCCTAACAACATTCGATTTTTCCTGCTTTTGCACAAAATGAATGTACATGTGGTATTGCAGTGCCCTATCATCCCGCTAATTTAAAAAAAAAAAAAAAAAAAACAATATAGATTATGTTTAAAACGTTTTGTTGTGTAGATGTGACAATCACCTGCACATTTAGAATGAAAATCGCTAGAGAAAAGTACTATATATGTAGTTCCTATATCATCAGCGCCACCTAATGGCCAGAAGGCATTATTTTTCCATAAATACCTCAATCAGGAAAAAAAAACACATTATGGCCATTAGGTGGCACTGACGATACAGGAACTATGTCTATTAGAGAAAATACAGCAATTTTCGTTCTAAATAGGCAAATGTTTGTCACATTCACACAACGAACGTTTTATACACAAACCCCCATAGTGTTACCAGTAGCAGTTGGGGTTATTATTGCTTCCACTGACACCAATGTTGGGGGTTATTATTGCTTCCACTGACACCAATGTTGGGGGTTATTATTGCTTCCACTGACACCAATGTTGGGGGTTATTATTGCTTCCACTGACACTGATATTGGGGGTAATTATTACTTCTATTGACACCAATGTTAGGTGTGTTATTGCTTCCATTGACACCAATGTCGGGGGTCATTGTAGCATTCACTGACGCCAATGTTTGGGGCCGTTATTGCTTCCACTGACACCAAAGTTGGGGGTTATTATTGCTTCCATTGACTCCAATGTTAGGGGTTTTTATAGCATTCACTGACACCAATTTTGGGGGTTATTATTGCTTCCATTGACACCAATGTTGGGGGTTATTATTGCTTCCACTGACACCAATGTTGGGGGTTATTATTGTATTCACTGACACCAATGTTGGGGGTTATTATTGCTTTCACTGACACCACTGTTGGGGGTTATTATTGTATTCACTGACACCAATGTTGGGGGTCATTATTGCTTTCACTGACACCACTGTTGGGGGTTATTATTGCTTTCACTGACACCACTGTTGGGGGTCATTATTGCTTTCACTGACACCAATGTTGGGGTTATTATTGCTTCCATTGACACCACTGTTGGGGGTCATTATTGCTTTCACTGACACCAATGTTGGGGGTTATTATTGCTTCCACTGACACCAATATTGGGGGCAATTATTGCATCCACTGATGCAACATCAGTGCTACCTAGTGGCCAAAATGCGTTATTTTTCCATAAATACCTCAATCAGGGGGAAAAAAAATACAAAACATATTATGGCCATTAGGAATAGGAACTATGTCTATTAGAGAAAATAAGGCAATTTTTTGTTCGAAATGGGCAAATGTTTGTCACATTCACACAACGAATGTTTTATACATAGATCCCCGTAATGTTACCAGTAGCTTGGTACCTCAGTTGGAGCGGGTGGAAGCGGCTTTTGGGATCTGCGTGAATGCTCGCTCTTCAAAACTGGAAAAGAAAAGGCATTCAGTTACACACATATATAGTGATTGTGTGTATATATAGTATATATATATATATATATATATATATATATAAAACATACACATAAAAAAAAATAAACACACAAACATTATACACACAATACATGTATATATATACATAAATATATATATATATATATATATATATACACACACACACACACACACATACATATATATACACACACATACACATAGATATACACACACATATATATATACACACACATACACATAGATATACACACACACACACATATATATATACACACACACACATACACATAGATATACACACACACACACACACACACACACATATATATATACACACACACACACACATATATACATACACACATACACACACACACACACACATACACACACACATACACAGTATTGTGCAAAAGTTTTAGGCAGGTGCAAAAAAAAAGTATGTCAATTAGGAATGTTTACAATCAAGACTTTTGCACAGTGCTATATATATATATATTATATAATTAAAACTAACTTCCATTGGCATTGCGCAGTACATGACACCCCAATGCGTTTTTTTGCCGTCTGGGCAGCAGCAGAGATACTGTCCATCTTGGTGGAACCGTGGATGAAATTTCTGAGCCACGTCATTATTAAAGCGAACAACTAAAAAAAAAAAAAAAAAGTGTTGTTTTTTTTTAAAACATAATTTAATAGTTTTACTATTTATCTTCATTACCGGATTCACCTTAAAAAAAAAAAAAAAAAAAAAAGCAAAAACATAAAAAAGACATATCCCCGCATAATAAAAATTCCCATAATGTGTCTAATACATTTATTACCATTATTTCCTATGATGGTCAGCTCCATCTAGTGGCCATAATGAGGTATATTACTGAAAGACCTGAATGAAGGTAATACTGCAATACGGCCACTAGATGGAGCTAGCAATCATATGAAAGAAGTCTATTAGACACATGATGGGGGTTATTCGCTGAGCGAATTGTAAGACCATCTCACAGTGTGAGTGGAACGGTTTAAAGACATCCTTACTAAGTTTCAGCTGGTTGATCCAGCGCCTTCGTAGTTCCTCTGTTGGGGCGAAGATATAAAGCGGTCCATCATCATACACTATCTGAAAGAGAGAAGAGCTTGTAAATAGCTGAATGCAAAATACAAAGAAATCGTCACCCAGCTGAAATCAAATCAGAATTATAAGATGATTGTTCAACATCCAGAGACCATGGAAGCATCAGCCCAGGGGATACCAATAGCCTTGGCTGCTATGGGGCCCTGACAGCAGAGGGGGCCCCACTACTGATTAGGAAAACTGAGCTATAAAATGTTATTATTACTGCTTACGTATATATATCACTGACACCAATGTTGGGGGTTATTATTGCTTCCACTGACACCAATGTTGATTGTTATTATTGCTCCACTGACACTAATGTTGGGGGATGTTATTATTGCATGCATCTGACACTAATGTTGGGGGTTATTATTGCATGCGCTGACACTAATGTTGGGGGTTATTATTGCATGCGCTGACACCAATGTTGGGGGTTATTATTGCATGCGCTGACACTAATGTTGGGGGTTATTATTGCATCCACAGTCACCAATGTTGGGGGTTATTATTGTGCATGCTACTGACACCAATGTTGGGGGTTATTATTGCATCCACAGTCACCAATGTTGGGGGTTATTATTGTGTCTACTGACACCAATGTTGGGGGTTATTATTGCATCCACTGACACCAATGTTGGGGGTTATTATTGCTTCCACTGACACCAATTTTGGGGGTTATTATTGTTTCAATTGACACCAGTGTTGATGGTTATTATTGCTTCCACTGACACCAATGTTGGGGGTAATTATTGCTTCCACTGACACCAATGTTGGGGTTATTATTGCATCCACTGACACCAATGTTGGGGGTTATTATTGCTCCCACTGACACCAATGTTGGGGGTTATTATTGCATGCGCTGACACTAATGTTGGGGTTATTATTGCATGCGCTGACACTAATGTTGGGGGTTATTATTGCATGCGCTGACACCAATGTTGGGGGTTATTATTGCATGCGCTGACACTAATGTTGGGGGTTATTATTGCATCCACAGTCACCAATGTTGGGGGTTATTATTGTGTCTACTGACACCAATGTTGGGGGTTATTATTGTGTCTACTGACACCAATGTTGGGGGTTATTATTGCTTCCACTGACACCAATGTTGATGGTTATTATTGCTTCCACTGACACCAATGTTGGGGGTTATTATTGCATCCACTGACACCAATGTTGGGGGTTATTATTGCTCCACTGACACCAATGTTGGGGGTTATTATTGCATGCGCTGACACTAATGTTGGGGGTTATTATTGCATGCGCTGACACCAATGTTGGGGGTTATTATTGCTCCCACTGACACCAATGTTGGGGGTTATTATTGCTCCCACTGTCACCAATGTTGAGGGTTATTATGGGTCCACTGACACCAATGTTGGGGGTTATTATTGCTCCCACTGTCACTAATGTTGGGGGTTATTATTGTATCCACTGACACCAATGTTGGGGGTTATTATTACACTCGCTGACACCAACGCTGGGGGTTATTCTACTCCAACATCTTCAGTGTGTATTGCAACATGAGAAGGTTGAAGCTGAATAAACAGCCCATATCAGAGGTGCGACAACTTCTCTGGCCCATAGGGGCGCACAGGGGCGAGAGCGGAACTGGTCACACAATACGTATTTTCCGGCAGCCTAGCTGACATACATCAGATTTCTGTCCAATCAGTGCTCACCGTCTTAGAAAGAGCTGACCACGGGTTCAGTTTTATTTCTTCCCGGAGACACAGAAATAAAAATAGCTGGCTCAGACTTTTATAAATAACTTCCTCATCACTAACCCTTCCTCAGCCGTGCTGCACAGCCGTGCGTCCAGCGTCAGATATTTGGGTTCATTGTTTTGCCAAGTGCAGCATGATAAGTAATGTGCAAATCTAACACTAAAATATGTTTTTTTTTTGTTTTCTCCATAAGGTTGGCACCATTTAAGTTCAGACATCACCCAGGAATGCCATCTACTTCATGGACTGAGATGTCGGCTCACAATCCTGTAAATCCTGATGCCTTTGGGATTCTTGGGTGTGTTCAAAAAATGTCTGACACAGATCAGCCCCTTACTTTGTGACTTGCTACAGTCCGATCAATAGGAGAGGGCAGCAAATGTATTGTAGAGAGTCTCGGCATGGATGTACAATGGCTGCACTTGGCTCCTGGATTATATGAAGTTTGGGAGGACAGATTGAATTTCTCGCACAGGTGTACCGGCTCCTCCCCTTAAGTCTTGCACAGGTGTACCAGCTCCTCCTCAAGTCTTGCCCTTCAGCTCTTCCCCTTCAGTCTTGCACAGGTGTACCGGCTCCTCCCCTCAGTCTTGCACAGGTGTACCAGCTCTTCTCCCCTTCAGTCTTGCACAGGTGTACCGGCTCCTCCCCTTCAGTCTTGCACAGGTGTACCGGCTCCTCCCCTTCAGTCTTGCACAGGTGTTGTACCGGCTCCTCCCCTTCAGTCTTGCACAGGTGTACCGGCTCCTCCCCTTCAGTCTTGCACAGCTGTACAGCTCCTCCCCTTCAGTCTTGCACAGCTGTTCCAGCTCCTCCCCTTAAGTCTTGCACAGGTGTCCAGTGCACAGCTGTTCCAGCTCCTCCCCTTAAGTCTTGCACAGGTGTATGAAGTTTGGGAGGACTTAAGATTGAATTTCTTGCACAGGTGTACCGGCTCCTCCCCTTCAGTCTTGCACAGGTGTACCGGCTCCTCCCCTTCAGTCTTGCACAGGTGTACCGGCTCCTCCCCTTCAGTCTTGCACAGGTGTACCGGCTTCTCTCCTGAACTGAAATGGCTAACTTTGATTTCACTGCACACTGTGAGCTTCTCACAATGTGTGCATTAGAAGCTGCAGCAAGTTGGATAGAGTCCGCCTGACTTGTGGGAATATGTGACCATTTCTGGGGTCTGGTCCTGATGTTGGTTGAGAAGTCCTGGCTTATATTCAGCGTTCCAATTCATTTCGAAGGTGTTCATTAGGATTGAGATCAAAGCTCTCTTGAGAGCATTCAAGCTTCTCCACAATAATCTGGTCAAACCATGTCTTTATGGAGCTAGCTTTATAGACAGACAGGGGCACAGTCATACAGCGACGAACTAAAACCTTCAGGGCCCTGGTTAAAATACGACCTTTGTAACCCCTGCAGTTCCTCCGACACTGGTATCTGTAGTTTTGTTTTTGTTATTTTATTTTTATTATTTTTTTGTTACAAGATTATTTTTTTTATTTTTTTTTAGCAGCCCCACTGGGGGGGGGGGGGCTTTGCTGAGATATCAGGGTCTGAACAGACCTCTGATCAGCAGCGTGACTAGAATCTTCAGGGCCCCAGTGCAAGAAACCATGAAGGCCCCAGGCCAGGGACCTTCCCTTCGAGCCCGGTGGAGGAACCCCAGAGCCCAGTCACAAGTATGACCTTTGCAACCCCTGTAGTTCCTCCGACACTGGTATCAGTAGTTTTATTTTTGTTATTTTTTTTTTTGTTACATTTTTTTAAATTTTTTTAGAAGCGCCACTGTGGGGCTTTGCTGAGATATAAGGGGTCTGAACAGACCTCTGATCAGTGGCGTGACTAGAACCTTCAGGGCCCTGGTGCAAAAAACCATGAAGGTCCCCGGACCCCCAGCCGGGGCCCTTCCCTTCGAGCCTGGTGGAGGAACACCAGAGCCCAGTCACAAGTACGACCTTTGTAACCCCTGTAGTTCCTCCACCTTTGGTATCAGTTTTTTTCTGTTTTTGTTTTTTTACTTTGTTTGAGATATCAAGGATCTGAACAGACCTTTAATGTTTCACGTTTGAGACAGAGAAAGGCGGCAGTGGACACATCCCTCAATCTCCTTCGCTGCAGCCTCAGCTGCACAGAATGAATGGACAGAAATAGCTCTGTACAGAGGCCGTTCATTCATAAACTCAAGTATAGTAGGCACAGTTTACTATGCCACGTTTCTGAATGAACAGAGTCAGTGATTGGTACAGATCACTGACTCTCCATTAGAAAAAGAGAGTGGTTCCCCACTCTCTGTCCTGACAGATCCCCTGTAGCAGCCGGCTGGAGAGGGTAACCCGACAGCAGTGGGGGGACAAGGGTCTTCCAGCCACACCACACTACTGTACCTCCCCATTCTCCAGCCACCCTGCACTGTTACTGCTAAACCTCCTCCCCTCCTCTAGCCATCCCATGCTGATACGGTTGTACCCCCCCAGCCTCCAGTCACCCCACTGGTACTGCTGTACCCACCCCCACGTCTAGTGATCCCGCGCTGGTACTGCTGGACCCCCCCCCCATCTTGCAGCCACCCCACACTGGTACTGCTAGACCCCCCTCTGTCCTCCAGCCACCCCATGCTGGTACTGCTGCAACATTGCTGGTACCCCCCCCCCCGCCCCAAATCCCCAAGTGGTTGGGGGTTCAGGTTTTAATGCCCCCTGCCCCAACTGACACCCTTGGGTGACTGCCACCAGCCCTGCCAGCCTGCATGGTCTGGAGCTGGGCTTCCTGTCCCTAGGAGAGATGGGCTTACTGTTCCTAGGGAAGATGGGATCCCTATTCCCAGGGGAGATGGGGTCCCCATCCCTAGGCAAGATGGGGTTCCCATCCCCAGGAGAGCTGAGGTCCCTAGCTGAATGGGGTCTTTGTCCCCAGGAGAGATGGGTCCCTTTCCCTAGAGAAGACTGGGACCCTGTCCACAGGGAAGATGGGGTCCCTGGCTGAAATGGGGTTCCTGGTTCCTGTCCCCAGGGGAGATTGGGCCCCTTTCCCCAGAGGAGATGGGGTCCCTGTCCCCACAGAAGATGGGGTCCCTTGCCAAAATTGTGTCCCTGTCCCCAGGGGAGATTGGGTCTCTTTCCCCAGAGAAGATGGAGTCCCTGTCCCCAGAGAAGATGGGATCTCTGGCCGAAATGGGATCTCTGTCCCCAGGAGAGATTGGGTCCCTTTCCCCAGAGAAGATGGGGTCCCTGTCCCCAGAGAAGATGGGATCCCTGTCCGAAATGGGATCTCTGTCCCCAGGAGAAATTGGGTCCCTTTCCCCAGAGAAGATGAGGTCCCTGTCTGAAATCGGATTCCTTTCCCCAGAGGAGATGGGGTCCCTTTCCCCAGAGGAGATAGAAGCTCTGTCCCCAGAAAAGATGGAGTGGGGTATGGGATCATGTATGTAGGAGATGGGGTCACCTCACTCACTGTGACCAATTTGCAGGGTCAGGTTGATGAAATGTGAGTACTACTAAGAAGCACACAGCACTGCGGCCGGCCGCCCTACAAGCAGTCATCCATGGTCGAATGGGATCCCTCCAGCAGCAGCACAGACAGGGCAATCAGTCAGCATGGGAGGCCGCATTGGCGCTCCACAGGCTGTGTATCTGTGTATGATGGGGGACGAGGGAGGGCAGGAAGAAAAGCTTGTGGTGGCTCTCATAGGGCTGCTGAAAGTTGGTTTGTCCAGGAGAAGTGTGCATTGGGGGGGCTCTGTACAAAGGGTGGGATGGAGGTGAGTCAGGGGTGCCCAGGACACTGGACTGAGTGGCGCTCTATTGGGCAGGAGAGAGGGACCACCCGAGGAAATAGTTGGGGGAATGTAAAAATGAATAGCAGCCAGTGCAGAAGGGCAGTAGGGTCTGCTACCTTCCCCCGTCATCCAGCCACCCGGGCGCTGATACTGCAACCCACCACCCAGCTGCCTAATGCTGGCACCGGCCCTGCGTACGGGGGTGGGGTCACGCAATTGTGACCCTGCGACCCCTGCAGTCACAGTGGAACAGAAAAGGGTCTTCACCAACTGGTACCACAAGGTTAGAAGACCTCGATTATCTACTGAGTCTTACCAGGACCCTTCACTGGGGATACCAGAGCTCCACTATGTAGTGGCCGCGTACCTTTGCCTATATAGTGTACGTTTTCTAAAAGGAGGTGAACCCGTTCCGTTGGGGGGAGGTATTCTGATACTAATTTAATTGGAATATCATCAACATTATCTTCTTAGAAAAATATAATTAAACGCCAGCGATACCATTTAAACCGAAGGGGAGGTTTTTCTTGTTTCTCTTTACAAAAAAAAGGATAATTGTACGCAGAAAGTACAAAAAGTACAAAGAGTAATTAAGTGTGAAATCCGTTCCTTGCAGGCGCGTGCTGTACACTCAGCATGACAACGGAGATTTCAAATGTATCTTCTTGAGAAAAAGAAGTGAAAAAAGAAGGCTGAGATCAGGAGAGCACATGGCAGATGTTTTTTTACGGTCTGTTGAGCGCAGTCCCCTCCCCTCCCCCCACCACCAGACGATGCTCAGGATAATTATAGTCTGGGGATCATTATTATTGGTTAGGTAGCTTTCAAATGGCTGTAGTGTAACATACCGTTCTATGTCTAAAAGAGGAAAAAAAATAAAATGTATCAATAACATTTCTCTTCCATAGAGGCCGATGGAACTCATGGCTAAGTGGTTAGCACTTCCGCCTGGCAGTACTCGGGTCGTCTGATCGAATCCCAACCACAGCACCTCCTGCCTGAAGTTTGCATGTTCTCCCTGTGCCTGCGTGGGTTTCCTCCGGGTACGGACTAACAACTCATGGGGCCCCCGGGCATTAGGGGATCATGGGGCTCCTGTATCCTCGCCCAAACTCAAATCACACCCAAAAAAGCCTATGAAAGGTACCAGGGGCATCTCATGGGGCCCCTACTGACCCTGGGTCCTCGGGCAGTGCCCGAGTTCCTGAATGGTCAGTCCGCCCCTGCTCCTGTTTCCTCCCAGACTCCAAAGACATGCTGGCAGGTAAATTGGCTCCTGTCTAAATTGGCCCTAGTATGTGTATGTATAGATCACACACAAGGCAACCTAAGTAGGTAGCCTTGGGCCCAGTGGGTGTGAGGGCCTGACCATGCATGTCTTCAATTACACAGCCGCGGGTTCCTCTAGACCAGTGGTTCTCAACCTGTGGGTCGCGACCCCTTTGGGGGTCGAACGACCCTTTCACAGGGGTCCCCTAAGACCATCAGAAAACACATATTTCCGATGTGTAAAGAGCAGCTACTGTGTAGAAAGCAGCTACTCTGTTAAAAGCAGCTACTGTGCTGAAAGCAGCTACTGTGCTGAAAGCAGCTACTATGCTGAAAGCAGCTACTGTGCTGAAAGCAGCTACTGTGCTGAAAGCAGCAGTATTGGAGGTAAAAACGACACTCATGAATTATAATTTCTGGGTAAATAATTTTATGGTTGGGGGTCACCACAACACGAGGAACTGTATTAAAGGGTCGCGGCATTAGGAAGGTTGAAACCACTGCTCTAGACGTTCTCACTTCTTTTTCACCACAGGGGAACCCTTGAAAACAGTTTGGTCCTTTTTACTTATTTATTTCAGGTACTTATATACCGCCATCAATTTACATATACATTGTACATTAATACATTCACATCAGTCCCTAACCCTCAAGGGGCATACAATCTAAAGGTCCCTAACTCACATTCCTACATACACATACTAGGGCCAATTTAGACAGGAGCCAATTCACCTACCAGCATGTCTTTGGAGTGTGGGAGGAAACCGGAGTACCCAGAGGAAACCCACGCAGGCACAGGGAGAACATGCAAACTCCAGCCAGGTGGTGCTGTGGTTGGGATTCAAACCAACGACCCGAGTACTGCCGGGCGGAATGCTCACCACTTAGTCACTGTGCTGCCCAAATGTGTAAAATTTTTGGAGGCCTTTACCAAAATGTGCACATTTTTGGATGTTTGCCAAAAGTGTTTGGATGAAGTGCTAACCATTTAGCCCCTTGCCAACCAGCAACACAGCCACAGGCATCCTCCCGGGTATTGTCTTTTAGAGCCGACAGTCATCTCAGT